GGATAACAAAATATAAGATTGCTAGATTTTATGTACAATAATTCATTTTCTGATAATTTTAGATTTTCTAAGTCTTGTAAGGTAAAACTAAATCTCTTTTGTTCAGTTAAAAGTGCCGCCAACTTTGAAAAATTGTCGAGCGTTTTGTCAACAGCCAACGAAGCGGCTTTGTCATCTAAACTAAGTAATGCTCTATTATAATTAGTTTCTATACATTGAATTACTTGAAAATAAAACTCTGTTAGTGTGAGAGGACATGAATTATCATTTTTTTTGATTTTCCACTCGATGAACACACACATCAACAAACAACGGAAAGGGACGCGACCAAATGAAATGTAGTGCGCGCTTTCTTTAACCTTGCTAAGTGCCAAGTTTTTTACTTCTTCTGGTTTTGTACTGAAATATTTCTCAACAAATTCAATAACCTGTTGTTCTGAGAATCCTGAAATTTCCACATAGCGATCAAAGTGGATTTTTTGATTCAGCTTGTTCGGCCTGGAGGTAACCATGATGACAGCATCGTCCAAGATTTTTTTTCTGATTAGTTTGCTTAGAAGAGCTGCTACTGGCTTCTTGGTTTTACTATCATTAGGAAATTGACTTTCAAAATCTCCGAGTATGTTGTTTCGGTCTTTATATTCGTCAAAGCCATCGAGAACAATCAATAATTGCTCTGGATGCTGAAGAATGTAGTCCATCACATTCTCGTCTATCATGGTTCCATCGTTCAATAAAGGGCAAAGRTTCAGCAGTTCTTCGAGGTTCAACGTTTKTTCGTTTGGTAAGTTGTTCAATTGTCTAAACGTTATGAGGTAAGTAAACTKRATKTCARGGATCGWTATGGAATTKGTAGMCAAATCWCGAAGAAGTTTCTGCGAGAACARTGTTTTYCCTACGCCTGGTTCACCTGAAAGTAATATTCTYTTGACGGTAGTGTCTTTTTYGTCYTCGTCAACAAAAAYCTCACTACATTGCTTSATTTCGGTMAGCGTCTTACGATCAGGSTGAYATTCGTGAGGTCTTTGAATTTGTTCTGKCAAAAGTTCTSGGCWTYTTTTYYCMYSRTGRWSAAYMA